TTAGTCTCATGCAATGTTCTAAAAGTGAATTGGAACGAAAAGAAATGGAAGCAATTTTGTATGCATCATTAGTTGGGAGCTTAATGTATGCTCAGACTTGTACGAGACCAGATATTAGCTTTGCAGTTGGGATATTGGGTAGATACCAAAGTAATCACGGTATGGATCATTGGAAAGCTGCAAAGAAAGTTCTGAGATATTTGCAAGGAACTAAAGGTCACATGCTTACTTATAGAAGGTCTAACAACCTTGAAGTGATAGGATACACAGATTCAGATTTTGCAGGATGCGTAGACACAAGAAAGTCTACATGTAGTTACCTGTACCTTTTAGTTGAAGGAGCTATATCATGGAAAAGTGCGAAGAAGACTGTAATTGTTGCGTCCACTATGGAAGCTAAATTTGTGGCATGCTTTGAAGCCACGATTCAGGCTAAATGGCTACAGAACTTTATTTCAGGGCTTGGATTGGTCGACAATATTGAAAAGCCGCTGAAAATTTATTGTGATAATTCCGCAGCAGTCTTCTTTTCTAAAAAAGACAAATATTCCAAAGGTGCTAAACATATGGAATTAAAGTACTTTGCCGTTAAAGAAGAGGTTCAGAAACTTTGAGTGTCTATAGAGCATATTAGCACTGTTCTTATGATAGCTGATCCCTTGACGAAGGGATTACCGTCCAAGACATTTACTGGTCATGTATGTAGAATGGGTATTATGTCAGCTAATGAATGATGATAGTTATTGTTATGTGTTAAGTGTTGACACTCTGAGCTCATTGATGAACATATGTTTCTGATATTGTCTAGTTTTCAATTTATTTATGCATGCAAGTATATCTGATGATATTGAAAATGTTTATGGTCCGTAATGAAGACATTATTGTTGAACATAATGTGTACTTCCTATTAAAGTGTCATGTTAGAAAGAAGAGTCAATATAGTGGTACATGGAAGGTACTATGCCGACTTGATAGCATAGAACCGCCATGACTCATGTTGATTTTATTTCTAATAATGAATTATGATGAGGTCAATGTATGGAACCTTAGCCTAGTAAATGCGCATTAAAATGAATGTTGATTAAATCATGAAGGGACACCTTATGACATGAGCCAAGTGGGAGAATGTAAAACTATTTGTCTCATGTGTAATTTTATGTGTCAGTTGGTTTAATTAATAAAAAGGCATTATGGTAATTTGGCTATTAAGGGAAGTTATTCAAGGTTTAACTGTTGATAGGTGCAGTTATATAAGAGTCATATGGTCAGTTTTCTGATAAGGGTGTCTGACAGAAAATAACGTTCCATCTGGGTCTGCCTATTAAAGTTGTATCATATCCCTATCAAAGAATATACAAGAACAATGAATGGTTAAGGCTCAGAGAAAAGGATTCCACCATCAAAGATCTTCCGCACTTATGGAGAAAGGTATGTTTATGTGAAATTTATGAATTCTAAAGGTCTTCTGTCATGTTCTTGAATGATTATTGTTGAACGTGAATTATTGAATTACTGATGAAATGCTTATATATACTTGATCAAACTTCTAATAAGAAATTCTTTGAAACTTTCACATCTTTATATTTCACATGGCTTAATTAGGTTGTCGTATGCTACAATCATTAATAATGTCTATTTGATATTGATATTCAACTTCACATGTTTGATTAAGAATACTTTCCCTTACACATATACACAAGGTTACTCATACCATTTCTTTATTCCTTTACTCTTCTGGTCAACACATTTTTCTTTGAGCATCATACGGTACATATTCTGGTCTAATCTGGTGGATATCATAAGGTGTCATCAATGATGTGCATTTGATTTTATATGTGTGACTGTGTGTACATCCGCATGCATAGTTTTGTTATGCGATGTGGTTTAGAATATACCATTGGATATCTGCAGTATTCTTCAATTATGAATCTCTGAGAAGTAGATACTTTTCTCCTTACAAGCTTTGCTATTAAATCTGTTGCAGGAAAATCTTCAACATAGGCTGACTGACCCTAAAGCTCGAGATCAGTTTGTGATTTGTGCTGGTTCAGGTTTTGTGGAATGATGCTAGACATTTGAAGCCTGATCCGGTTCATAAGCATGCTGTGAGTGAAATCTTTTGTCCTCCTATATTTCTTTAATAGTGTCCCACTCTTATATTTTGCATGCTTCATCGCTTTGTGATTCTTGTGCAGTTTTGGACTGAAAAGATTTGTACAATGGTTCCCGATGGGCACATACCTGGCAAGTGGCAACGATACATAGGCAAGGAGCAGCAGTTTGGGGTGGTGGCACAACTTTCAATCGTCTCATGCGTTAAGCTCATCCCCAATTTAATTTTTGCTTTTGGTTATGAATTGCTTGATACTATGTTCTCATTACTTAGCATTGGAGATATATCAACTGCAGGTTAAACTTATTGATTTTTCACCTGGTGAGAAGTATTTAGTAACCTATAGTAGCCATGAACCAAACAATCCTAGAGATGCAAATGTAAGCATTTACTTCTTTGAATTAACTAATTTTTTTTCTCATTGATTCATTGGCATTATTTCCAAATTCTATTTACTTTTTAGAGGGTTGTGATAAATATATTTGATGTGAGAACTGGAAAGTGATAAGACATTTCAAGGGAAGTGCTGATGATTTTGCTATTGGAGGTGCTGGGGTGCCACAGGAGTGTCCCGGCCCATTTTCTGGTATTCTTTGAATTTTCTCTTCCCGGATGATGATTATAATTAATTAATAACAATTATTAATTAATTGATAACAATAATAATAACATCAATAATTATTTTGTTATTATTTTGCTTGTGTCTTATTGACTTAGTGCAAGAATATTATTGTTTTTATTTTTAGATGGGGTGGAGGAAAAAATATGACAAATACTTTGCCAGACTCGGGAAAAATATGATATCTGTTATTGAGGCATACTTTTTCTCTTTATTGACGAGAAGTTCAAGGAATTTGAAATTGAAGAAGTAATTGATGTCGGGCAGGAGATTTTTCCCTTGGACTTTGGCAGGAGTAGGAGTTAATGTATGTATTAGCTATGAAGCACCGACACTTCAAAAATTCTGACGTGTCGTGTCTGACACTTCCCGACACTCTCGGACACTCCGACACTCCCCGACACTTCAACACGCGTTATAGAAATTCAAGAAAAGGATTAAAGGTTTCGTTGCGTTGAGTTTTTAGTTTTAACTATTACATTCGTTGTATTACGATTACTATTTTATTGAGTTTAATATAAATATTTGGGATATCTTATGTTTATTTGCAAAATTTATGAATATTATAAGTTTAGATTTATTTTTTTGGTTAAATTATTGAATATTAAATATAATATGCACTACATAAATTAAAAATATTATTTAATATCAAAACGTGTCCTAACATGTCGAAATCTAACATTTTTAGTAATTAACGCGTCGGAGTGTCGTGTCGTATCGTGTCACGTGTCGGTATCGGTGCTACATAGTGTATTAGTATTATTGTACACATTCCTAATTTTCAGAGTCTAGGCAGATAACTGTGTCATAAAATAGCTCTTTGTGAGTTTCACAAAAATTGGCGTCCAGATTTGAGGCGCCCATCAGAATCCAGCCCCTCCTGTATCACTTCTCTTCAGCCTGATTATGTTGACCTTTGGAATAAAACAAAATGAAAAAAAAAATGGAATAAAAATGGAATCAAATTGGCCAAGCTTTCTTCGCTAACCATGTGCTACATTAGATAAACTCTTTGATATAGCTAGACAAACGCTACGAGAAAATGTCAACTCTTTCATATTCTACCGCATTATTGTGCCAAAGGCCCTTCAACCAAAGTGCAGTAGCAGGAATTTCGCCAATTCTTTTGTAGAGTTGATTCGTAAACATTTAGGACAATTAAAAGTGGCAAACAGCCAAGCCATTATTGATATTGATCATTCATTGCGCAGTCATTAAATTGGAAACACAAAATGAATGATACGCCTAGGATAATCCTGATTAAAACTAGCAGCAGACTCTCCCTCATACATTATTTACAACTAATATTCCGCTGACGAATTAACATCCTGGCCACATTCATTCTAGTTATAAAAAAGACAAAGAATATTGCATTTAAAGTGATATTCCGAACAACATTACAACCGGCGAATAAGAGAGTAGTAATAGTTGTGGTCGTTGTCCCATAATCCCAGCATCTCTCAATGCTATCGCCCAATAGAAGATTCTTTACGCAACACAAAGAAGCATATTTCCTTTGCTGTTTGATTCTCAAAATTAACGACTTTTTTTTTTCTTTTTTAATCCATGATTTGGAAGTATGAAACCGTTACATTGTATTTGTATTGATCATTAAAAACCCAATTTTCTTTAATCAAATTTTGATATAACAATTTTCAGACAAAATTATTAGCCAATGCTATTGAAAGCAGTCCCTCAAGAATGAAGAGTAGAAGCACACCTCAACCGCTCAACCCAATACATCGAAAGAGTCCCTAATCAATGATATCATTGTCATACATACAATGCAAGGAATGTCCAACATGTCTTGCGGTCCTCATTTCAAGTCTTGAAACAAAGTTCTATGCTTTATGCTACTTTTCCACAGTAAATGCGATTCCATTCACTTTCTCCCTATCCCCACCAACAATAAATTCACCGACCAAAATCGTCCTCATAAAAATAAGAAAAAAGTATCCGTATCATTTTATTAAAGTGTTAAAGGAAATAAAGTTGTATTATTTTAAAAGAGAGAAACAGATAAATTATGGAGGAGAAATTGGAGAAAAACAATTTTAAAGATGTGAATCCCGCCTCTTTACGAGAGTGAAAAAATGTAAAATCTAGCGTTTAGAATGATACATTTTTTTTCCTAAAAATAATGCTGTAAAGCGAAGGTTCACAATCAACTAATCTAATCTTTTTCGCATCCTTAGCTGCCTACTAAAATGAAAAAATCTAAAGTAATCCAGGACAGGATCACTAAAAAATTTGATGGTCCTCTCGCAAGGAAAAAGGGCATAAAATTCCTCTCCTATTACAATTTTACTTTGTACCTTACTTCATTCATCAAAATATAACAGGGAATTAATAAAAATAAAAATAAAAAGTTCCAATGGAAGCAAATTCAGCGAATAAATATTACTCTCTTTTCAGTTTTCACCAATCCCCAAAAAAAGGGCCTAAAATTACACCGAGTACCCAGAAAGATGTTAAGCAGTTACTGAGAATTTAAAAAATAAAAAAATAAAATGGTTTATACTTGTTGACCAACCACTAAGATTTATTATGGTGATTCACCTTGGTTAATCCAATCCCACGCGGCACAGGCGGCGCGTTGGGGACATCGACGAAGGTGGCGGAGGACATCTCCATCTGAGAGACTCTAACAGCTCCTATCAATCTCTCCGGCAACTCGTCCTCCGTGTGGGCCTCGACCACAAACCCCATATCGATGGTAACGGTGGTCACATATCCCAATGCGAGGTGCAATATAGCGTTGGCGATGGCGCTGCTTCCAATGTCAACATCAATCTCAAAATAGTTCGGACCCCTGTGATAGTGACACGTCAGCGCCTTCCCCAACAAGCACGCGCTGTAATTCCCCACCGCCTTCTTCACAATCCACGGTCCCTTCACGATCCGGTTCACCAGCTTGAACCGCTGGTTCCTGAAACCGTCATCGCCATCGATGAACCGCCCCAGGAGCGAACCGGCCGGGACCGGTTCCTCTGTGGCGAAGTAGAACACCGCACTGTGGTGGTCCTTTCCGGGAACCTGAAGGTTCACGGCGAAGATGAAGCTCTTCATTGACTTGCCCTGTGATTGTGCTCTCCGAAGCGCCTGCGACACGCGATTATCGGCGCGACCGAGTACGTTGTCGAGTTTGGCGGTGGACTTCAGCCAGTCCATGCCTGCCGGAGAAAGGAGATAGTCGCCGGCGGGAGACTTTTGCCGTTTTGTTAAGTAGCTCTTCGAGCGGAGGTGGAAGAGGTCGCCGGGCGGCGAGGCCCAGCCATTGGTTCCGGTGTTTAGGTCGACGTGGCGCAGAGATCCGCCGTTGATTGCGTCGGAGATCCAGTTGGAGGAATCGCCGGATCTTGAATTGGAACCGGAGCTCCGGCCATTGGTGTTGGTGGGGCACATGTGTTGATGTGAGAGACACGGAGACCGTGTTGTATGTTTTAGGTTTCTACGCACACTCGTTTCGTTTCAGTTGTGTGTTGTGTACACACAACAGAACACAGCTATAATTTATTTATTTATTTATTTATATATATATATATATAAATAAATAAAGGAAGGATATTGTAACAATTAAATGCTACTATTAATGTTACTATGAATCAATTTCACCGTTAGATTGATTATGCTAATTCAATGATTATTTTTATTTTTATCTTTAAATAGTTATAATTCTTTATATTTAATATTTTATATTTATTTTTACCTTTGTATAGTTATAATTTCTCATATTTAATACTTTCACATTAAATATGGAAAATCGTAATCAGACAAATATAAGAATAAATAAAAAAATTAAATTAATATAATTGATCTAACGGTAAAATTAATTGGTAATAACATTGATGATAACACTAATTAATTATTACAATATTCTATCCCATAAAAATACACAGATCTGAAAAGAAAAATAAAATAAAATATTGATCTTACATATTTTTAGATATACGTAAGGAATAAATTTTTAGTGTCAGATATATACAAGATTCACTGTATTTATCTAATTATTTTGTGATATATGAATAAAAAATATCTCGTCATCTTTTACTCTCTTTTTTTATGATATAATATTTTTTTGTCAAATAATATGATATTTTTTATTCCTATATCATAAAATAAATAAATAAATATACTAAATTTAGTACATCTACCAAAGATTTATTTATATTTTGAAGAGAAAATTATCTTTTACGAAGCACTAATTCCTTTAACATTTTGAGGATTAAGAGCTTTTTTGGATGAGCTTTTTTTTCTTCAAAAGTTATTTTTTTTAAGAAAAAAAAGCACTTTTCGAAAAAAGTTTGTTTGGATGCCTGCTTTTAAAAAAGCAGAAGTCATAAAAAAGTCAAAAACCTACTTTTTTCAAAAATTAAAAATTTTAGCTTTTAAAAAAGCAGAAGTCAAAAACTAATTTTTTTTTTCAAAATTCAAATACTTTTTAAAAAATCTAAATAACTATAACTTTTATAGAAAGTACTTTTAAAATAAAAAAAATAAAAAAAATTTTCTTGAAAAGATAATACAAACGAGCCTTAAGAAAGGAAGCAGTGGAGAAAGGTAAATTAGCCTTGTGTTTCGTGTAACTACGACAATGCCAATTTATTTAATATTATAAAAAAATAATCACTAATTTTTCATTTATAAAATTTAGCCCTTGACACTTGACAGAATGAGTACACGGACGAAACGCGTTGGCTCATTTTTTTTTTTTAATCAAGCCGCTTAATCAGTTGCATAACACTGTAGTATTATTTATGCACGTGTCTATTAAAATTTTCATAAATTTAAAATGAAATTTACATTCATCATTTAACATGACAAGAACAAATTTTCTACACACATAACATTTTGTGAAATTCGTAAAGAAAAATTATGGCACGCAAAACGAATCTCTATAACATAACACAAACACATCACTTTTTTTACGACATAACTTTTATAAAATTCATTTAAAAAATATTTTTGGAATCTAAATTTAAAATTATTAATAATTATATCCGCGTGGTTTCCTCTGGAAGTCAGTGACAGTGTTGCTTTTCTTGTCCTCGACTTTTGTGAATACTTTATTTTCATATAAATTTGTTATTTTAAGTGACAAATAAAGATAAAAACAAAAAATATTGAATAAAATATTCATTAACCATTAGTTTATTACACTCACTGTTCACAAATTTTAATATTTACAATTATTTAGTTATCCATAAAAACACACCCTTCTTGAAATTTGCGATTTTATTTAAGCGCATACCGAATCTTCAATTTAATTATTATCCATAAACAATGAATTTGCTTTTTGGGTGATTAGTTTATGGATTTTATTACTGTTATGTAATAGAAAATATATTATCTCATGTTGTAAATATAATTATGTAACGAGTCACATTATTTATTGAAAAAAAAAAATACGAAAATTAATGAATGTGTAAGAAATTATATTATTTCATATAACGTGAGAGTGATAAAACCCTTAGTTTATTTAGGTAAGAAATTGAAATATGAATTATTTTTTGTTCATAAGTGGATTTTCCAACTAACCCAGTTGTTGACGTCGTCAGATAAAAATCATAAAATATTTTATTTTTAACATATAGTTATTCTTTAGCCAATTAAGATAAGGAAAATGTTAAATACACAAACAACGCCTTTTGCACATACTCTTTCCATTAAAAAAATAATAAGTGGATTAATTTTTTTTTCTCTTTTCAATTTTGATGGACTTGTGCCACTCAATAAATTGTGATTCTGGAACATCTTAATAATTTCGCTAATTTTCCTTGTGTAGTTAACAGTCCCCTTTAAGATAAATGCTCGCTTTACTCTCTTTTGTTAATCAGTATTCTGAGTCACGCTTGACTGCTTTTCATGTCAAACTTTATTGTGCTTTTCCATTTTTTTTATTAATTATTATCCCTCGGTAATGTATTGGAACAGTGACCAAAGTGTTATTGTTGACAAAAAAATTTAACAAACTGTCACGCTAACAGTAAATTTTGCCAAAATGTCACGTGACATATTTTGCTACACTTTGTAGCGAAATATGTATGCAAATAATTCTGTGATTCGCTACACAGTGTAGCGAAACATGCCACATCAGAACCAAAAATGTCATGTGTCAAAAATTTTGCCACAGTGTAGCGAATTTCTCCAATTTTGACACATGACATTTTTTGTTATGAGCATTCTGATATTTGCACACATATTTCACTACACAGTATAGCGAAATATGCCACGTGACATTTTGACAAAATGTACTGTTTGCGTGACAGTCTGATAAATTTTTTTGCCAACAGTGGCAAAATGGTCATTGTTCCTAATGTATTCACATAAAAATAAAAATAAATATCTTTTTTTGGTACTCAGCAAATTTCACAATATCCGTTTTAGTCCCTATTAAATAAAAAAGTTATACGTGGTCCCTAAGAAATTTAAAATGGATCCATTTATTTGAAATCGTGATCTCTCACAGATTTTAAAAAGACCCATATTAGTCCTTCAAAATGACTAAAATGGACCACTTTGAATTTCTTAGGGATTACAAATAACTTTTTTATTTGCTAGGAACTAAAGCAAACATCGTAAAATTTGCTGTCGACCGAAAAGTATTTTTACTCAAAAAATAATTTATATTTTTGTATTGATAGTCAAACATAATCATTCACTTATAGTATATGATTTTTATCTAATATATTCCTTTTTGTTTGGCATCTGTGTCTGAACTATTACTCCGAATATATTTTAGGCTTGAGTAATCACTCCAATTTAACTTGTATTGCTTCTTTGTATTTTGATGAATCACTTTTATGTCGACATCCTTTTAGAATTAGAGATTTATGATTATTCTTAGAGTATATACATAAATATTATCAATAATAATTTTTTATCATCCCCTCATATTTCTAAATTTAATGAAATTTCATACTTTTTTTAAATTACGATCAATTCTGATATTTTTCTAAAAATATGAAGTTGTTATTCTATTAATGAAATACTATTGATCTCTTCTATAGTGTCACTTTGAGGTTTATTTCTACCTATCAATAATAATATCCTCTATCTGTGTAATGTATCAAGACAAAAATATCCTCTATATACTTTAGATTCATTCATTAGTCGCCATACTTGAAAGATGTCCTTCAAAGTTCAAACAATTAACCGCACGAGAATTTTTGCAACGATTTGCAATATTCTGCAAATAAATTATGGTTTTGTACTCAAGGTGGTACATAAATGTCTTTCATGGAGGGTGAAGTATGTTGATATAAGGGTGTCCATAGTAGTCATGGTAGAGACCAAGGCACTAGTGGAGCTTCCTATGTATGTGCTAAAGGGGGGAGTGTGTGTGTATGACAGCATATGAGAGGAGTCTGGAAGAAGGAGCCCCTCTCTCCATGTGTGAGAGGGGTATTTAGAGAGGAGAGTTCTCTCTTCATGGGGGCTTGAGCTGGTCAGCCCATGAGCTGTCTCATCAAGCTGCCCACTGTCAGTGTAGAGGGGCAGCAGTGCAGGATGGGGAATGTCCCAGCGGTGAGCCTCTATGGCTTCTCATGGGTGCCCTCTAGAAGGTTCTAGAATGTGGGCTTTGACAGATTGGGCCCATCTGGTGGGCCTAGTAAATATCATCCAGAACAGGTTTGAACATCAAATTTATGATGATTTGGACCAATGTTGTTAAAATCGAGATGTTAAGTTAAATCGGAAGGGGATTAAAAAATAGTAAAAACTCGTAATGTAAAAAAATCATAAAAACGTAAAAGTATTTAAAATATTACTAAAAGTATCAAGTAATATTTGTGAAATGGCCATAGTGGCAAGTGAATGGTGTGGTGTGTATGTTAACATGAGAAACGGCCACGAGAGTTATGCGTGTTCAGGACACCCATGCCCGTTGGGACATATTCCCATATGTGTGCAACTAGTTACGGATGTTCGGTGCTCAACCATTTGCATTTATAGTCAATGAGCAACTCATAACAAATTATCATGTTGGGGGTGCTTGTGTTCTATCTCTTAGATGGATACAGTGCAGGTAATACTCACTCATCCAAATGGTAAGTGTGCTAGTTCAAGTCGCAGACGGTGAATGTGTGTGTTTAAAACAAGCATGGGATTTATGCACAACTAATCACACAATTTTTGCATTAATGCATAATCCATATGCAATTACGTAACTAATGTAGTTGGTTGCGTAGTATATACTTGATGCGCAACTAGTTGCGCACATGATCCATTTTTGTATGCTTACAAATTGAAACTCTTACCCACCCTCTATTTCAGCATTTTCAATTATTGATAGTCATTGTCCTTTCCATGTGAAGGTTCAAATATGTATTTACAATACCATAAACAATTGTATATGTTTGCATTATTGTACTGACAGGATTTAGGGTTTCTCGTAATACCAAAATCATCTTATAATAAGATTAAATAGCATGTGATTCCTTGACTAGTAAGATGTACTTAGAAATCAATAGTTTTTTG